GCTGCTGTTGAGAGACGTCTTCGGGAGACCGGTTCCTTTGCTCCCAACACTGTTGATAATAGAAGAGAACGTTTTGTAAGCATTCCTGAAGTTGAAGAAGACATTTTAGAACGTGTTGAAGAAGATCCAGAATTAAACACCAGACGAATTGGAAGGGAACTAGGAGTAAGTAAAGATGTCGTTCATAAAGTGCTTAGATAACAATTGCTATATGCATACCCTAAGAAGCCAGTTTTCTCTATTTTTTTGGAATTTGTTGGTTGGCTTCAAAGTAAAATATGTTCAAAAATGACATTAGTTGCTTAATTTCTTTTTGTCTATTATATTCAGGACAATTAAACTCGTTGGAACTGTGTTCCGAAGATTTACAATAAATACAATACTTACTACAAGTAACATCTGGCTCATGGAATTTACCACACTTTATGCATTTGGCCTTTCTTCTACATTGATTAATACGATGTCCATAAAGCATGTATGGTACAACCATCGAGATAGAATAAAGTAGAGACGACATAAACACTATTTTGCGATAAGACATATGGACGCACTTAGCGATGCTAAGACTGACAGAAAAATGTAATTAAAATGGCGACGTAGACAGAGTAGTACTTTGATTTGAAGTCAGTAATTTTATATTTGAAGATTGTCGGAATGAAAATATTTAAGTAATGTTAAGAAAATATATTAAATGTATTGTTCAAAAAAATGTCTTTTAACTCCAACACATTTAAATGTTTTATTGTCCTTTAAATAAAACCATCTTATTACTATGGTGTCTTATGCTAATTTTCTTATTTGCTTTATTTTTTGATAAATAGCACATTCTTACATTTAGGTACCTGCTCGCAACACATTTCATTAATAATGTTCTGTGATTATCAAAAACTGACTGATCGAATCCATGTTGTATAAGACTTGAAAATGTGTTTCAAGAAATATATTCTCTTAATACTAACTGAATCAAGATATCAAGTGAAATCTGTTTTTCAGAAACTAATCTGACTTTTAAAAGCTTTTCACATGTCATACAGATAGCAATAACATCTTCTGATGGGTAATGCCATTTGTTTTTATTTTTCATATTGTAACTTGACAAACCGGACCCTGACCTAGTTTTGCAAATACTTATAACCTTGGCCTAAAATTTCGTCTAGTAGATCGCTACGAAGTGATGTTAAAACCCCCAGAATTTCGTTTAGAGTTCAATGTAGCTGTAATGGAGGGAGAACAAAGGAAACACCGAGATTAATTTTGAATACTGTTTATTTAACATCTATTCTTTTGTACAGCCGAACATTTAGATTATGTGCCATTTTTAGGCTTAACATTCTGTTTATGTTCGATTCTGTTAACTAGGCGGGATGCTGGGATGTTGTTTGAATTCGAAATAAAATTTTAATATAATATGTAATATATAAGAATTATTTAAATTAATTATCAACCCCCGGTTGTCGGATTTCAATATCTATAAATTAATATATAATATTTTTTGTATCACTTATTAGCGCTTGAGAACATTGTGCACAATATATTTTTTTATTTATAAAATGAAGAACGTAACCCGCGATGTAAGTAATTACATATTTCGAAAATGGAGTAATACAGGGATCTGGTACATAACCGTGATCTAATTCGATGGCTTTAATAATTTCCAAGGGATCATTTTCATAATCTTGTGCTTGGTTGGAAAATGAATATCCAGTTGATGTTATATTAAGTTGTATGACTACATTGCACTTTAAAATACTAATCTCTTCTAAAGGTATACAGTTCCTACGAAAACTTTCACACAACTCTACATGGACGAGTAGCTTTTTATAGGCTGACACAAATTGTCTTACTGTAGGGTTGTTATTATAACCCTCATGTGAACGGATCGAACAAAAAAATAATTCCAAGTTATCCTGGGAGATTTTATATATTGGTAAGAAAGATAATAAATTGTATTGCACAAATTAAGAATTAAATAAATATTTAGTACTGTGGATACAGACTTTTAATCCTAAAAATCCCGTATGCCTTCCACTGTCTAATAATAATTGCCCATTGCAATGTGTTTTTAAACCGTCAATGTATTTATCGGCCATATCCAAAAATGTTGAAATATTGTCGATAAGCACTTAAGATGGCTGAATGCCGAAAGCGCTTGGCTATTTCAATAAAAAAATTGCACGAAATATTAGTTTTCTTTGCTGATCTAAACTGCGTGCACATATGAGTTAACCTCTTTTGGTTCCTTTTAATCGTTTCAACCGACCACATCTGATAAGAGAACTAAACTTTTACGTGATTCAAACTTGGATTCAGCAAAGACGGAATCGCATAATCTTTTAGACGAACAAAATGTACAGAATTTCTATCGAAACAGTTTTCTTCAAAATGTCTAGAGCATAGTACACTATATTTTAAAGGTTTCCAGTCACCTCTATTTACAAATCCAATCCATGAATCCCGCGTTACAGAGTTCTTTGGAAATCTATAATTCAAGTATTTGTATATTTAGCGTTGTGAAAATTTAAAACTTATTCCTTAACTGTACTTACAGGAATATCATAAAATATGCTCTTTATAGCCCCAATGGGCATCACTACTGATGTAAAATTATCATTACATTTTTATCAGAATTTAAACTAGCAAGATTGATTTACTTATATTATTATAAAAGTAAATTATGATTAATTAACACACAAACATTGAAACAAAAATTAAGAATACGGTCCTTCTAATTGTTTAGAATATGCTTTAGACCTACTTATGAAATGTAATTCCTGAAGTTTTTTCTTATTAACGCTGTCACTGCTGTAATAGCTTCTTATAGCACATGATACCATTATTTAAAATTAAAATAAACAACCTTTTATAAGATTTAAATGTAGCTATTTAAATAAAAAGGCGTTTATTCTCACCAAAACAGTAATCAAACTGACTAGGTCACGTTAGTTTGACACATGACGTAAAAATGTAATGCTTATTGAAAAGTGCGGACACTTTTAGTAACGTCATAGCGTCTCCCCTTTATTCTATCTCGATGGGTACAACTCTGACTGGGAGACCATAAATTCAAATTTCCTTAAAAATATTTTTTCCTGAAAAAGTAACACAAACCATACCTGTTGGTACATATGAGATTGCTTTACCGGATTCCATAACTCTTCTATTTAGACGTTTGATATGAAGAAGTTTACAATTCACTAAATGGGTTTCAGTTACCTCTTTAATTTCATCAACTGTAAAGGATCTGTCCACATACCTTACAATCCCTTTGCAAGAGATATTGTGTGATGGAATAAAAACTTCATAACCTTTATTTTCCATTTCTTTATCCTCTATAAATTGGTTGGTAGCTTAAGCATTAGTAAATATCGCACTTATACGGTTGTTCCATTTTCTTACTATTTTGAGGATATTCTTCAGCTTCAGATTAAAAATGGTTTTTGCTATACTTAATATATGAAAATTTCCTAGATTATTTGTTTTTCCTTGGACATACACTTCGAAGGGGCCCGAGTCTGTGGTCGAATACAAGTTTTTAACCCTGGGCGGAAGATCTGGAGGATCCGGCGGATCCTTGCCCCCCAACTCCATGTGGGTTGGAGGTTAAGTTAACCTCTAGTTGTTTTGTGTTAGGCAAATCACAAAAATATGTTTATATACAATTACTTACTAAAAATATGAGGAAGAAAAGGTTGAAAATACGCAGAATGGTGTTAGTAATGCCCAAAAAACAAAATATTGTTAAATTTTTATTGACAGCGATGTCTACACCTCAGATGTCAAAACAAAAGTCACTTTTTAGCTTCCAAGTCTTAAAGAATTTGTTGTTGGGTAGGGGTTTTGTCGTCGATAAATGTAATATTTTTCGATTTTTAATGTTGGTATTTCTTTTTGTTTCATGAAACCATTTTTAGCGGCGTGTTCATAACGATTTAAACAATAAATAAATAAATAAATAAATAAATAGAAAGTGAAATAATCTTTTATTCATATTTTAGTAATATAATTATTTCAGAAGGCACTTTCGTGTATATGGAATGTCCCGAAATAAAATCTAATTGAACTCATATATTTTTTAACAAAAATTAAAGAGAAAACTTCCAATTTTTGTATATATTTTTTGACTTGCCGCACTATAAACCGATAGATTTAACTACAAACAGTTGTTTAAGTCAAAATCATTCTTTAAATTTTTTTTACAAAATTCGTTAGCACTGATGATTTTCCAAATTGCAGTTCTTATAAATCTAATTCTTATTTTTTTACAGCTGTCGCGACAATAAATTATAGTATTTTTAATAAGATATTATTTTGAAAACAGTACATTGTATTTCGGGACACTCTATATATTACATATTTAAGTACACTTTTAAGTAGACTTCGCTTTAAGCTAACGAAAAAAAGGAAAACAATAAAAAAATATTATATCTACATATCTACACTTAAGTACATAACATAATACTTATTAAAAGTAGAAAATAACTTATTCACCAGGTATAGAAAGTATACAAAAGGGGTTCTATCCTCAGAGATTAATTTAAAACAAATACCTTGACGTACCAGAGACATAAGGTGTATCAAGCTTCCTTGTAATTGACAAAAATTGTCATTTTGAAATAAAAACATTTTTAAACATGTATACAAATACAGTTAGTTATTTTTTGACACTGGCTTCATCATTTATATAAGTCCACCAAATGGTCATTTACAAATTACGCAGAATTTTCACTAAATAATTTGACTTTTCTAATATTAGGACTTCGTTATTTAGGTGAATGTCTGGTACCTTTCCATTATCCATATGATACACAACTTATGGAAGCTACTCGGTACGTTATACTCTTCTGAATGTAGAAACCACCTTGTAAATCTAATCCTTACAATAATTATTGTATATATAAATATGGCAGGTAACTTTCGTTTGCTCTAGAATCCCATGATTCCAGAATCCTCGTACTCTCTTCATCATGGAAGAACTAAACTCTCTTTGGTCCTTATTTAGCTTACCAGAAACACAATTTTAGGTAGAGCAGAATCATTAACGGTACAACCATGTAGTTTGTCGGTGCTACTCTCGCAGAATCTGAAAGAACAGGATCTATACAAAGATTGATACATTAATTATTAAAAGTGTTGAATTTTATGTATTCGGTGTTGTTTACTATGAGTTTGAGATGGTAATTAAAAAATGAGAATTAATAAATTTAGTTATTATACTAATCATACAGTAGAGATAGGTTTTTGGGTGGAACTAACTCCAACAATGTTTGGGTTTGAATTTTTTAGTGTGTTGATATCTTTTTGAGATACTAAATGCAAATAGATCTATGCAACCAGTTACGAAATGCCTTATTTTATGTAACGAGTGAATATTTCCGGATGAGCAGAGCGAGGTTTCGCAACGTGAACGAGTTATACAAAACTGCATTTCATAATCTGTTACATACAATATTTTCCAATTATGACTAGATTATTTATAAAATTGTTTTTTGTTACAAAATTAGTAACATCTATGCAACCAATATTATTTACTTGTATTGTTAGTTGCATATGCGTAACTTCATTAACTTTATTAACAAATAGAAAATCATATTAATTTATTCTCAATAACTTGTTTTTGTGTGTTTATATTGCTTGTTAAAGTGATTTAGTTTTCAAGAAAATGGGTTATTTTGACGTGTATTATGTTTTGATTATTTTGTGCTGATTTAGAATGGAAAATAAGGAAAAAAAAACATTATTACTAGGTTGTAAGTTCACTAAACAAATTCTATTTTTATATAGTCGACCCTTCTTTGATATAAACTTTCAATAAAAATGTATATATTGATTTAAAAAAAAAAAATGTATAACCAGTTTATGCAACTAGTTGCATAAAATAGATCATTTTGACACTTGCTGAGATTACAAAAAAATTAGCAAAAATAGGTTTTTTGTTCGCCATCTTAAAAAAAATTATAAATCATAAAAAATCGTGTGTTGTATCAAATTTTCCAAATGGCACAAGATATTCTGAGAATGTGCCCCTGTAGGGCATATACAGGGTGTCCCAATAGTGTGTGGAAGTTCGATATATCCTCTATTATAAAAAAAATTACAATTTTATTTACAAAAGTTGTATATAATATTAATCTGCATATTTTAAAATAATTTTCGATTATACAGAGTGATCCATAACTTCAGAATTGATCAAACCTGTTTTTTAAATGGACCACCCTGTATTTAATTGTAAATTTGAATTTCCCTGACTTTGCCCTTTAAGAAAATACCAACATGTATGAGGTTATACTGGGTATTTTGGAAGTTTAAACCAATTTTATATGAAAATCGTACTAGGTTCAACCCTCTGTATATTTCAAAAGAAACAATTGAACATCAACATTTTTTGATGAGTCATTTTTAATGATAGTCTACTTTTATAAGAATATACTAATTTTTTCCTAGCGCGACAGACGTGTACAGGATGAGTTAAAACTCAGATACATGATTTTCTCAATTTTTTTAAATGTAACACCCTGTATTTTATATCACTACTAAAAAGTACTTTAATTATACGTTCGTTTTAGTCCAAGAGCCCACTGCAAATTTCGACCGTCATCTAATAACGAAAAGAAATATGCTTCAGAGGCATGTAAAAATATTGTACTTTACCAAACGGCACCTGTGCCTATCACTATCCTGAGCAAAATAGTAAAACCAATGGCACTTCCGGTGTCACAATTAGCGAGAAATGTCGTCATTTGATAACGAGATAAGACTTATGCCATCGGATAGCTATTGATTAATAGAACTTAAAAATGTACCTGTGCCACCGCTTTTCCTGAGCCAAATGCTTGGCACAGCCTATTTATTCAGCCAAAATTCTCGACAAACTTCCGTCATGTGATAACGAGTTAAAACAATATGCATTCGAATGGGCATAATGTCCCATTCAGGAATATCCGCATGTGCCACGTTTTAACCTGAGCTAAGTTGCTGGCACAGCCTAATTTTTGAGACGCGCCTCTCCCAACTAATTTATTTCATATATACAAAAAATCACATAAGCCATGACAACGAAAATTATTTGTATTGAAAATTACAATCCTAATAATTAATTGTAAACTTATTACTGAAGCCTTGGTTTGTATCATAATTTTAAAGGCTTTTTAACAGACTTAAAATAATAGGAGGAGATACTCATATCGTTAGAATATTTTATTTTTTTGTATGTTTACTGATAAATCTATACCACGTTGTCCGATTTTTATGATTATTTTTTTGTTAGAAAAGGGAACACCGGGTTAGTCATATATAAATTTGGTCAACATCTGATAATAGGATACACGAGAAAATAATTAAATTCTTCGAATAACAAAAAAGGTTTTTAAAATTACTTTTATTAATATACAGGTTCATTATTTAACAGAATATCTTTTCAGGTATTTATTTAGATATATTTTATTACTTTTTATATTTATAAAAAAGTGTAACTACAAATTGAAAATAAAATTCAATACGACGATGATATAGTTATATTCGGAAGTTTCCCAGAAAATGTATTAAGGGTATACTTACTAAGGATTGTTGAATTATTTATTTTTAAGTACATACATGAAAAAATTAAATTAAATAAATATGTATACACAAACAATTTATCAATACTAAAATACATTGTTATTATTATTATTAAAAAAAAAATCCCGTTCGCAACAAAAAAAGTTACATCCAATCCTTTCCAACAATTTTAACATTTACTCATCATCTGAATCTGAGAAAACATCATTCAAATCATTCAAATAATTTAACTCATTCAACTCGTCGTTATCGACAATATTATCAATATATTTTAAGACACCATCGACTTTCAATGGCGTTGGGTCTCCCTTGAACCACACTGGTTCCAAACGTTCATTTAGCTCAAAACCGCATTCTTCAACTTTTAATTTAGAACAATTTGCATCTGCAGTGTTTTGCCACCTTGAATTGACGTACACTGTACGCAAGATCTTTTGTTCCATAGTTCTCCAACATGAAGGAATAAGACTTGAATCCAACCCTTTATTTGTTTGCATAAAATGCTCGTTTTTACTATTTTTTGGAGAAAATAGTTTTTCATACAGTTGCAGCTAAAGAAAAAGGCTAGAGACAGATATCATGCAACGAAAGTGTTGATAAGTCAATTACAAAAAAAAAAACAAAGAGAACCAAGTGGCGAAATGAAAAACAAAAGCAGAGAGAACACTTAAAACGCCTTCAAGTAATACAACAAATTATTTCACCGAACTCTCTAGTGACTGTGCAGAGAACTCCAAATATTAATATTGTAAGAGGCAGAAAACGAGATCAAAATTATATAGATAATATGAAACTGCAATTAGAAAATAAAAGGCTGAGCTGATTAGAGAAATTAATAAGTACAAGATGCGGGCATATCAAGCCCAAAAAGATATGACCGGCAAAGTAATTTAGTCAATTACCAATGCTTCTCCATTATCAAAAACAGAGCTGACAATTCATAATGTATACCGAGAATTAATAGTCCAGGTGTAGATAAAGTTAAAAAGCAATTATTTAAGTACAATGTGTTAACTCATGCTCTATCGTCTGAATATGCCAAAATAACGAATAATTCTGCAAAATTAACTTTTAAAAAGCAAGAGGATGGGGAAGTTTAGGTTATGTTTTTAAAAAACATAGCCGATAATGGTACGAAATTCATATCGGATCAAGATGATGTATCTTACATTTCAAACGAACAAATCTTGGAAATTCTTGAAAAACCTACAATAAAATTAAACAGCGATCAAATTTATTATGAGTATAAAAGACCCATCGATGTTTTTGAAATCTAGTTCAACTATTTTAATGTTATTTAGATATATCTCTGTCATCTTCCAGATACCATTTACTTTTAGTTTGTTCCTATTTTTTTACGATTGTTTATTTACATCAAAGTTTTTTAAGTTGAATTACCATTAGAGTATTTTGTAAATTTACTGAGTTTTTTTACATTTTGATTATTTTAGAAAAATAGTTCTTTGTTGTTATTTTGCTTATTATATTTTCTATTTATTACCTTCCTGTCCACTGTATTACAAACAGTCCACTGAGTTACCTTATTTAATAATGTCTGTAAAATAAAACTAACTAGAAGTAATAAAACGCACTTGGATATCTTTAATAGCATTTAAGAATAATGTCCTAAAATTATTATACGTAAAATATTTACACTGTTCCATTTTAAACAAATATAGACTTTATTTTTGAGAAAAAGTAACAAAGTGGACATAAAAGTTGAAAAAAATAAAAAAAAAAGGAATCTGTCACTATATCATTTTATTACTTTTAATCACCATGGATTATCGGTGTCTCGATCAAAACTAAAAATATGTACTATTTGTCTTAGACCCGGTAGATATTTTTGACGAGTTTAATAAAAGCGGGATTTATTTTTGTACGCATTGACAAAAAATTCCAAAACACGCATTTAAAAATCAAAAAATGCGCTGCTAATAATAGTTTCCTTGATTTAAATATATTAGAATTATATTTTAATAATCAAAACATTCATAATATGAAATAATAAAAATCGGTATCGATTTTACCTAAAGACGTGGTTTTCTGAAAATGACCCATTAAGGATTGAAGCATACACACGACCATTCATTTACAGACACCCATTACTATTTATTGATGCACATCATTTTTTCTTCCAGTTCGAATGTGAAACGCTAATTGTAACCCCATTCATCACTAGTAGACATATTTTGCTATTTATAATCCTTAAACATATTTTATACTTACAACCATTTTGAACATATTATGGAATTCATCCTTGTACTTTTTCAAAACCATGAACTTGGCTTTGCACTCTGGGTGATAACCATTTTCCGCTATTTCACAGGATAACTTAACATCTTTGTATTTGAATTTTTTTATTTGATGAAAATGTAACATATTTAAACATTTTTCGAGTACATCGTTAAAGGGAAACACTTTTTTCCCTTTTACATCGCATAAAAAACATATATCCATGAATAATAAGAACTATTAACAAAATGAATCCATTAATTTTTGATAATTTCAAGATTTATTTGTTTACTTAATATTGTGATT